CTACTATTGAAGTGTTTGGAGACGGGACACTGTTTATCTTGTGTAATGTTTCGGAGGTGTTCGGTACACCTGTCAGAGAGACGGCGTCCAGTCTCCCCTATGTATGTCATCTGACAGCGGGTGCAGACAATGGCGTAGATAACGTTGCGGCTTGTACAGAGGAAACCGTCGCGTATCTGAAAACTGCCCTTGGGGAAACGTATGCGTTCAGTCTGGACGACAAAAGGGCACGTGTTACAACGACTGCGTCCACACGGCTTGGTCCCAAAGTGGGAGGGGGGAGCATTGATACGACTGCGTACAAGGAGGTCTCTCAGATTTTTATCCCATCTGAAAAAAATGAGAGGTGGGGAAGAGAAAATTTCTCGTGTGTCGGTGTCTGCGAGTAATATAGATCGATGTTTAAGGAAAACACGTTTAGCAATCAGTCTGTGAGGGTGATAAGTTAAAATGAGTTTTGTCCTGTTAACCTTGTCGCTCAGACGTGGTCTGAAGGCATCAGCACGTGTAATATTCTTAACCCTTTGGAGGGCTGATGAAAGTACTGTTTCCGGGTAAGACCTACACCGGAAAAAGTCTATCATTTCAAGTGCCTTGTCCCAAAAGTCCTCATCCGACCGACAAAGTCGACGAAGACGGAGTAATTGAGAGAAAGGAATAGAGTCCTTACAGGATTTAGGGTGGGATGAAGAGTAGAGTAGATAGCTGTGGCTGTCAGTGGGCTTAAAGTAGGCAGAGGTGTGTAGGGTGTCTTTGTGAAGAGTGACTGTAATGTCTAAGAAATTGACTGAGGTCTCAGAGATATGAGATGTGAATTTAATGGAGGGGTGAAAGGAGCCTACAAAGTTAATGAACAGGTCAAGTTCACTCCTCTCCATAGTGGTGACCCCTATACCATCATCTATGTACCTCTTATAGAATTGAGGGAGGCGTCCAGTATAGCTGCTTTCGACCAAGTGTTCGAAATGCCCCATGAACAAGCAAGCATAGCTGGGTCCCATTTTAGTCCCCATAGCAACACCACTGATTTGGTCGAAGAATTGGCCACCAAACTCAAACGAATTGAGGGTGAGGACTAGTTCAGCCAATCTGAGGAGGGTGTTGGTGGGTATAGATGGGTGGGGTCTGGTCTCAAGAAAGAATTTGAGAGCTAAGAGACCGTCAGTGTGGGGGATGGAAGTGTATAGAGAAAATACATCAAGAAGAAATAGATGATGCTTCTTTTCAGGAGGGATTATGATAGATTCAAAGGTTTGTAGAGCATGGTTAGTGTCCTTAATGTATGTTGGCAGTGAGGCAACGATGGGTTGAAAAACTCCATCAAGGAATTCCGAGATATGTTCGGTGGGGCAAGAGCATGCTGAGACGATGGGTCTGCCAGGGTTACCATACTTATGAATTTTGGGAAGTAGGTATAAGCATGGCTTACCGAGGTCACTATCGAAGATGTGTAGGGCAGAGGCCGATTTGGGGAGCGCTGATTCTGCAATCATTTTCTTGATGGTCCCTTTCACCATGTCGTTATGTTTGGTGATAGGGTTGTTGGTCCTCGGTTGGTAGAACTGGCTGTCTTCTAGTTGCCTATGAGCCTCCTTGATGTAGAGATCTCTGTCCCACACCACAACAGCTCCCCCCTTATCAGCTGGTTTGATGACGATATCTTTCCGACTGCGCAGCTTAGAGAGTGCGAGTGATTCTCTTTTAGAAAGATTGGATTTCCGGAGTGGAGGTAAAGAGAGGTTCTTGATGTCATGTTCCGTGCTCTTTATATATAAGTCTAAAG